CTGAATTTACTCTGATACTCATGTATTTATCACTTATTTTTTCAATAGAAATGCATATGTATATGAATATATTTTCCCACATTTCCAAGATTCTACCCTGAAAATTTCTGTGATATCACTTCCCTGAAATGCATTTTCATTATTTCATGTCAGTTCATCTAAGTATTCCATATCATGTGTTGGAAAAGATGAGACAACTCTAAGGTCCTTCTTATTTGACTATTTATAAACTATAATTAAAGGTCAATCTTAGTACCTCCACAGAACTTAAGTCTCATTCACCTTTCTCATTCATAGTGCTTTATTATTTAAGTAGGTAGTAGAAATTTTATTTTGAAGAAGAGTAAATGATTTAAAGCCATTCAGTGTACTTTAGAGGATTCCAAAAACCTACATTTGTAGTTCTTAAACAACCTTATCACTGAAAGATCTGGATTACACTCCAGGTTGGACACTGATACTATGCTTCCATGGGAAATGGTTTCTTGGTTGTAAATATTGTCCTTTCCCTTTCCCCTATAGTCTTGAAAATGTGTGAATTGTAAACTTTTAGAATCATTATTTTCAACTCATTTAGCATGGAACCATTTGATAATAGGAGGCATCTACATTCTGAAAAAAAGAAGACCCTTTACCAAGCCCTAAAGAAGTGATAAAATAATCTCTGGAAAAAAAATAACAGTCATCCATTAGATTATTTTTTAAAAAATACTAAGAATAAGTTTAGTTAGTAATACATTACTGTACTAGGAAAAGTGATATAAATGCAATTTTTAAAGTTGTTTCTGACTACTACAAAAAGAGTATAAAAAGCTGGGTACATGGACTGGAGTTGTGTCTCAGCGGTAGACTACTTTGCAAGCATGTGCAAAGCACTGAGTTTGATTCTCAGCAATACATATAAAGAAATCTTTAATTTGGTTTTATTTTTTAAATACATGACAGCTGAATGCATCACAATTCTTATTGCACATATAGAACAATTTTTCATATGTATGTTCACATCATAAGTATGTTCACATCAATTCCTATCTTCATATATGTACTTTAGATAATAATGTCTATCACATTCCACAATCCTTGCTAATCTTTACAAAACACTCCTACATTGGCTACTTCACATATACTTGCCTCAGGGATTTAATGCATTAATCAAATAAATTTTCTGCAGCCTATGCAGAAAATGTTGGAATGGTTATTATAAAAATCTAAAATTGTCATGTATGGTGGCATATGCCTGAAATTCTAGAAGCTATGAAAAATGATGCAGGAGAATTGTTAGTTCAAAGACAGCCTCATTAACATAACAAGGCTACAATCAACTTAGTGAGAGCCTGTCTCAAAATATAATATAAAAAGTAATGTGGATGTGTCTCAGTGGTATGTACCCCTGGATTCAATATTCAGCACCAAACCAAACAAAACCAAGTAAATATCTCATAATTAATAGGGGTTCCAGGGTACACAAATACTTAAAAATATTGATGACAATATAAAACCAATAAATATATTTTTTATAAAAGTGTTAAGGTTCTTTAAAAGCCCAAAATAAAAATGCCACATAATCCACTAGTCATAATTTGGGATAGCAGTGCAAAATTCTACATGCCTGAACTCCTAGTGGCTTAGGAGGATAAGAGGTAGAAAACTAGGGGTTTATTCTCAAGTTAAAGTCCAGCCTCAAGAACTTGGCAAGGTCCTAAGAAACTCAGTGAAACCCTCTCTCAAAAATAAATAAATAAATAAAAGTGTTGGAGATTGGGTATGTAGCACAATGGTAAAATGCCCTGGGGTTAATCTCCAGTATTTAAATAAATAAAAAGATATAAATAATAATTCTTGGTTAAAAAAAAAAAAAGTCACACAATCCACTAATAACAACTTTGGATATATATATAAAGGAATTTGAATCCTTTTGCTAAAGATATTGCCACGTGTCTATTTTTATTGTATCTTTATTCACAGTATCTAATAAAAGGAAACAAATGAAGTACCTTTTAGATAGAAAGTATATTAGAAATGCCTTCCAGCTGCAAAGCATCCAATTAGTCCATCCCTTCAGAAGCTACACACTTAAAATTCAAACTGGTCCCTAGAAGGCAAGACTCAGAGAGTGGTGGTTTCTAAATATTCCAAAAAAAATGGAATCTCTGGAAACCTTGTTTCAGATATTCTAAAACTCAGAACTAGGTCATATGGGAGGTCAGAATGAGAACACAACATATAGTAGATTCTTTAAGGGGAATCTTAACTCAGATACTGTCATAATTGAAAGAAGTGTTAGAGATAAAAAATAGATTCTGTTTCACTGATTTCTGAGTTATGGATTCAAATCAAACATATATAGAAAAAAGTTAAGGCTACTGGTTAAAATCTATATAAAACAGGTATTAAAAATGTTCCAGGGGCTGGGTGTGTTGGTGCAAGCCTGTAATCCCAGTTGCTGAAAAGGCTGAGGAAGATGTATCAAAAGTTCAAAGCCAGCCTTAGCAAAAATGAGGTGCTAAGAAACTCAGTGAGATCTTGTCTCTAAATAAAGTCAAAAAAAAAAAAAAAGAAAGAAAGAAAGAAAGAAAGAAAGCAAACAAACAAACAAACAAAAAACCCTGGGGGTGTGTCTTAGTAGTCAAGTGTTCCTGAGTTCAATCTCCAATATCCCCCATAAAAAATGTTCCAGGGGGCTGGGGCTGGGGCTGGGGCTCAGTGGTAGCTCATTTGTCTGACACATGTGAGGCTCAGTGGTAGCTCACTTGTCTGACACATGTGAGGCACAGCTCCACATATAAGTAAATAAAATATAGGTTTTTCAACAACTAAGAGAATATATATATATATATATATATATATATATATATATATTTTTTTTTTTTAAATAATGTATGGAGTTATTGACATGGACTTTGATCTAATTTGCTGTGTATTTTAGCCCATAAGATTGAAATTGGCCAGGCATGGTGGTGCATGCTTGTAATATCAGCTGTTTACAAGAACATAAGGAACATGAATTCAAAACTAGTCTCAGCAATGGTGAGGCACTAAGCAACTCAAACCCTGTCTCTTAAGTAAAATACAAAATAAGGGTAGGAATGTAGCTCAGTGGTAGAGTCCCTGGTTTCTCCGCTCTGAAAAAAAAATGAGGCTGAGTAAATAGCTCAGCTTCTAGAGTGCTTGCCTTCTAGATTGCTGAAAAGGCTGAGGAAGATGTATCAAAAGGAGATACAATCCCCAGGAGAGAGAGAGAGAGAGATTGAACTTACATGTAATTTAAATTCAAGTTAGTCCCACTTTTATTTTTCCTGCCACACCAGGCAGGAAAAGAGTTTCCTAAAATGTTTGGAGTGTTTCTGTGGGTTATTTATTTATTTATTTATTTTTATGTGGTGCTGAGGATCCAACCCAGGACCTTTCACATGCTAGGTGAGTGCTCTATAGCTCAGCCACAACCCCAGACCCTTCTGTGGGTTATTTTAATAAAATGGTCTGGCCATAAATAAGTAAACAAACAAATACATTAATAAATAAATAAAACATCAATTGATGACCCATTACAGCTTTTAAAATTTATTAATTGGGACACATAAACCTCATTTAGGAGAGATTCATTCTTTTAATGTCACCTAATTTTATTCTGCTTCTCATGATGTGAAAATCTCAGAATGATAAATTAAACTCTTTTAAAAATGCCCTTCATTTCTTGTAGAAAAACATAAATGCATCTAATTGAAATAAAACATGAAAAAATAATGATTGATAATGCTGAAAGTGGAGTTTTGAGATGAAGCAAAATTTCTCAGTTTGCCAATTGCATCTGGGTGCTTGTCTCACAAATTTTGAAGAAAAAAAAATCTAAGAAATAGAATTCCCACTATGTGATATGAGTAATGATACCAGAAAAGAAAAAAAAAAAAAAAAAAAAAAAACCTCATCTTGATGTGCCATCTTAGAAGTTTACTAATGGTTTTGGGCAGAATGCATTTAGAATAGGCTTTGGAAAAGGCATCCTGACTACCACAGGGGTTCACTTTCATTCTTTCTGTGACCAATTCTTTTATCTTCAAATTCAATCAGGAATCACCCCTGGGACAAAGGACTTTGTTGAATTGTTCCCACAAGTGGGCTTCAAGGTCTTTCACATTTGAAATAGGACTTAATGGTGCTCATTAACATATCTTTCAGTTAGCAGCCAGGTGTGTTTGAGTGAGACCCATTATCCACATTACATGGTTTATTATACTATCTATTCTATTTTATACTTATTCACTGTGAACCGAGAATCCTAGTTTTGGATGTGTGAACAGAGAGCTAGAAAACTAGGGGTTTATTCTGAGACCTATGGAGAGCTAAACTGAAGTTCTGGATTTCAGATGTCTGTTCTGGATTTGAGATACTGCTTCCCCTACATTTAAAAATCTCAGGACTCATGAAGAGAATGAGTTAAAAGCCAGCATCATCAAATTTGTGAGGCCCTAAGAAATTCAAAGGGACCTTGTCTCTAAATAAAAATATTTTAAAAAGGGGTGGGAATGTGAATCAGTGAATGAACACCTCTGAGTTGAATTTATGCTACCAAAAAGATAACAACACACAAACAAACAAGCCCTTATGAGTAACAAGCCCTAAAATCAACAGCCTATCTCATGCATGAGTACAAAAAATAAATTTGGGGTCCTCTCCTGATAATTATCTCAGTCTTCACTATGCAATCTAGAGTCATGCTGGACTCATGGGACATGGAAGCCCACAAAGGGCTTTAGAAAGAAGCTGAAAACACCATACAATTATGGAACAAAATGCCCAGGTTTTCAACTGCTGATGTAAGCCTCACTAGACTAGTAAGAGGGAGGTGAAGGCTAGGCTACCACAGAGAGACCCTCTGGCCACAAGACTCTAGAGAGGACCAGGAGAAGTCTCTAGCCATGACTGCCAGTTTCCACCATTGCCACTCCTGTCAGCCTTAAGCCACCTTCCTCCGCAGTCTCAAAATAACAAGGCACACTTACCACTTCCTGGCTTTCAGGGTTCTCAGCGGTCTCCCTGTGGTTTGTTTTCAGCTTCTCCATAGCACAGAAACCTGGGCTCCAGATGCAGGACAGAAAGCCTAAAAAAGATTGAAAAAATGGCCGCTCCGGACGCGAAGGGAATGGAAGTTCGTGGAAGCCCACCCCCTCATCACCGGCTGCACCAGGATTGGACAGTTCTCGCCTAAGAGACTGATTGGCCAAGGCTTCAGGCACTGCTTCCAACCTCAGCCAAGTGGGCGCAGAATCAAAGTCTGAATGACAGGCTGCTCCATTGTCACTATTAAAAGACGACAAAACAAGCACTTGGGGTGTGGCTCAGGTGGTAATGCGCTGGCCTGGCATGCGTGAGACCCGGGTTCGATCCTTGCTGAGACCTACAAATAAAGGTGCTGTGTCTGCAGAAGTTCGTTTTCTTGCTTTTTTTTGTTTGTTTGTTTTTATAAAAAAAAGACTACAGATCAGGACGGAGGATATAGGTTAGTCAGCAGAGTGCTTGTTTTGCTTATATAAGGCCATGGATTGAATGTCCTGCACTACACACATACACTCCCGCCAAAAAAAAATGAATTAAGTAAAGGATTTGGGGGCTTAGGGTTATGGTTGAGTGGTAGAGTGCTTCCCTAGCATTCGAGAGGTACTGGGTTGAACACCCAGCACCACATTAAAAAACCAACCAACAAAAAAATTACTAATGGTAGTGTGTCCATCTACAACAAAAATATTCAAGAAAACAAAAAGACTGTGTATTGGACTTGTGCACCCTGACTACAGAACCCATAAACACTTTTTATAAATAATATTTACATATATGTCTTCAGACAGTGTTTAAAATTCTCCTGTGATGGCTTTTCAAGTAACATATTACAGGTATGTTTCACAACCCTGAAATCCCCGACACCTCAATTATTATTATTATTATTATTATTATTATTATTATTATTATTTGATGTCCTGTTAATTGCATTAAATGCCACTGTATGGGGTTATTTTAAGGTAAAGTTTTCTCCCAATAATAGGACCTAGCCCAGAGAGAAGTGTACTGACACTTATAACTGTTTATAAGGTTAAAGCAATTTGTGAATAAATATGCATTTTTTATGAAAAGGATATTACAATTACTTTAATGTTTTTTAAAATTTTTTTGTTTTTTGTCTCATAAAAAAAAACTGTTTGAGCTTTAAACTCATTAGCAATGTCCTTATATCCTTCCCCCCCCAAAAAAAAGTGACTCACAGGTATAATTCAAATTATTGAGACTCATAAATTTTGGATCCTTTATTTTAACTAGTGAAGTCTAAAGATTTTCTTTTTATTTTCACCTTTAAATGAAGTCCACTTTTCATAACTTTGTTGTTGTGTAACTGACCTTTAATATTCTGCATATTTTACCCCCATTCTGATCACTTTGGACTACTGATGTTTTGATGGAGGGGATCTCAAAGTGGTCATGCACAAGGTAGGAAATGGATACAGTAAGATATAAGACTATTGATTGATGAGTATGTAGATTTTTCTATACAAAATAAGTACTGGTGGACGATATGGGGGTAGGGAGAAAAAGAGCAATGAAAAAAAAGAAGAAAAACTTGAACAGTAGAGGGGTTCTACAATGATCAAGTCTACAATGATAGCGTGAATATAGAGGGTAGTGTTCTTGGAAGCAGCAATAAAATTTGAGGGGAAAGATAAAGGTAATTTTTTGCACAGTTCCCAAGTGAGAGAGCCAGGTGAATGGGTTCTGTGTTCAACTCTTCCCACCTAGGAGTGGAATTTATAGTTCATAGGGTATGTCTCAGTAAGTAGTAAAACACCATTTCTATGTACCTTTACACTTTTTCTTGGCTACAAGCTGACTTTGACAATTCCAGTCACATTACATCTTTGTACTTGTTAGTTATTCATTAATTAATTCATTCACTACATTATTTATTTGTTTTTAATTAATTCACTTTTTCTTTAGTTGTCATTGTTTTTATATTACTGGTGATTACATAATTGCATAAATATTCTGAATGTTAACTTTTTGTTAAATATTGTTTTATGTGTTTATTCATACATTTACTTTTCATTGAAATGTTTTTACTTTGCCAAGCCTTATTTATATTATACCTCAATCTTCATTTATGAAGACTAAATAAAATCATATTATTCCAAATAACTCAAGGATTTATCATCTTGGCAGAACCCTAATCACCCACTAAAGTTGACCCAGTCTGGATCAACTAAAAGGTGTGTCAAAACTCCTCTCTTTTCTTATGCACACTTTAATAAAGAATTCCTCTCTTACTTTTATATTTTGGAGAGCAGACCAACTTCCCAAGCAATAGTTAATAACCTAGATGAGTTTTCCAACTAGCTCATTGTTACTTTGAAATTATTTACATCCTTGACACTAAGAGTGTCACTGATTA